ATAGTAGCTGAACATATGAACAGAAAATAGCATACAAGAATAAAAATATTCTACCATGAATACTATTTTTAAAATGACAAATAGGAAATACTGTGATATAAATGGGAAAAATTTTCTTTAAATGATTAACATATTGTATGATTAGTTGTTCCATATCAATAAAATGTTGACCAACTACGTTAGTAGAAAAAGTACTAGCCATTATGGCAGGCAAGCCCTTAAGTTTGTTGCTCACATAATAGTTCATTCAGGGCATTCATAGTTAGTGATTCAGAGGCCTGGGCTCCTATTATTTGATATTTCCACAGTGTCAGCACATGGCTCCCAAACGTTCCCAGTAATTTTTTTTCCTTTCCATTTCACCCATTCATAAGAGGAAAAGGTTAAGTCAGGACAGGAAATGGTACAGACATATCGTCCCACATTTTATTGGCCAGAACTCAGTCATGTGGCTCCATCTAGCAGAAACGTCATCTAGCCATGTGCCCAGGAGAAACAGGAAAGGATTTAGGAGGCTTCCAGAACTCTCTGCAATTTACATCTCCAAAAATCTTCAAGAGCATCAGAGATAGTTGATGAAGTAGAAAATCATCAATCTCATGGTTTTTTTAAAAAGTTTATTCCATGTTTTTGGTCAAATATAAGCCTACGTAAACATTTAAATTCAATTGTTTGTATTTATTCAAAAAGTAGTGTTTTTGCCCAGTAAGTTATATGACATTTTTTATTATCCAAGTTTTCTGGTGTTTGATAGAAAACAAAATAATAGCCAAGTACCCAATCCATTATGGCAATTATGTTGATTTTCCTGTAAGAGCCTCTTCATAGACTGCAGGATGCAGTAAGACTACCAAATTGCCTTTATGTGTTAGAAAACAAGTGAACAGGATGCTGTTTGCAATTGTTAGAAATGTTCTTCTGGAAGGCCAAAAATTCTTCCACTATGCTCATGTGACTCTTTCTAATTTTAGCACCAAATAATGGGCTAGTTTTTTTCTAAGTTAACAATTTTATTAATTGAATTTATTTGTAGTGAGTAGTTCTATGCAGAGAATGTAAGAACTGGTGAATTATTCATTGAACAAAACATTTTTATTTTCTTAAAAAGTTGCATTAAATAATGACAATTTTTTTTAAAAAAGCTAAATGCCCTGATATAATGTATGACCTTGGCCTTAATGTCACAGTATTTTAACTAAGAGAGTTAATGAGCAAGGTGATAGAGAAGTCAGGAAGAATAGTTCTATTAACAGGAAATGAGCCCCAAATAAAAGCCCAGAGAAAAGGGACACCATTTATTGAGTTTACTTAATGGGAAAGTGCTAAGTCCTGCAACACTTTTTTCTTCTCTCGGGGTTTCCAAGGAATGACTGGACTTGGGGTGAGAAGTTTGGAGTACAAATGTGGGACTTTTGTTGAGCTGAAACTATAGGGGATTGTGTACCCTCCTCAAATAGTAAGTACATTTATTTGTGAGCATCTGATATAGAAAAGTTAGAAACACAAGTGAGTTTACATTTGGTTCTTGAGAAGACCAAAATGCACACATTCAGGGAAGTTCTCAAAAAGCAGAAAACTGTATGTCTAGAAAACTATTGGTATCCACAGGTCACCATGCCAACATACAAGGAAGGGAACTGGTAATAAAGGACATAGGAAGAAAATGGACTTTAACACAACTGACCAAGAATTCCTATTATTTTAAATATAGTTTACATTTTATTAGTTTATCTAGTGTTATGTAGAATTTTCAGGTAATAGTATTACATAACAATTTTTTGAATATTGTAGAAATATTATGAAAGCAGAAAACTACTTGGTTCAGTGTGGTAAATGATCCCAGATGTATGACCTACCTCCTCCCTCAGTATCAGAGGCCTTACTCTAGCTTAGCATTCGTGGGTAGTTCTTAGAAATTAAAAGAGCAATATAATCCAAATTCTAGATAATGAAAAACTATTCCATTATATGAATTTTTCATTTTTCTTGAGCCTCAATTAGCATTTAATATCTAATTTGTCTCTAGGTAGACTAATCTACTAAAATATTCTGGAATTCAATATGTCCTCCCATATTTCTTACTAATACTTCTGTAATTCTGATTCTTTGGCATTGAACATCCTTCCTTCAGCTTTTTCTTCAAGATACAGTTCAAAACTATGCTGATCATGTTTAGATACCATTAAGTGTTTCTCTAACATGCTTCCTTAGTACTATGAGCTTCTATTACTCCAGTGTATTATATTTTTCATACATTTTCTAATTTCCACCCATGGTTGTAAGTCTATGGAATGCAATGACTGGCTACATTTAAAGCTATGTTCAGAATAAGTAAATAGTAAATATATAATATATAGTGAATCTTCTTCAAATATTTGTAAGAAAACTATCTCCTATGGGTCCTACCATACTAATAAAAGAACATTAATGTTTTAACTTAAGGGAGATAAAAAACATCATGAAATAAAATTCTACTATATGTTCAAGACAGCATTATAAGACTTTCACTAATATCCAGTCATGAAGCAACAATGAAATACACAAATTTTAATTTAATTATATTTTCTATAAATTCTTCACTTCCTAAGTATGGATATATATATACCTATATTTAATCTATATCTATATCCAATCTATATCTTTATGTTTCCTTATCTTTATCTATCTATACATACACACCCACACCTACACCCACACAGACTATGTACCAAATTGTGTCTTCCTAAAATTCATATGCTGAAGCCCTCATTCTCAATGGGATGATAATTTGAAGATGGGGGCTTTCAGAGATAATGACCTTTAGATGAGGTCATAAGGGGGGCACCTTATTTTGGGATCAGTACCCTTAGAAGAGAAATTAGAGAGCTGGCATTCCCACACTTTTCCTATGTGAGGACACAGCAAGAAGGCAGTCACCTGCAAGCCAGAAAGAGAGTTCTCATCTGGAGCTGACCATGTCACCACCCTCATTCCAGACTCCAGAACTGTGAGCAAATATGTATCTGTTGGTTAAGCCGCCCATCTGTGGTATTTTGTATGGCAGCCTAACCTAAGATAGTATATTCTGATTTTGTAGTTATAACATATAATATATGTATTCTACACATGCACACACACACATTTTCTCTCTCTCTTTCCATGGGAAGTATCATTTCAGATACATGCCAACATTAGAAGATCTGAGGTATCTGGCATAGCAAGAAACTAAATGTCAACTTCTCACCACTGACATCATTAATCAGTTGCACTATAAAACCCAAAATATAATTTTGTATTTTTCAAAGCATGCTTTACTTATTTTTAGAGTATTCATTATTCATCAAAACATTATTGAAATTGATGTTTTTACACTAAATTGACATTTGAATTACCTTAGCTTTTAAAATAAACAATGTTCTGTAATGTACAAAAGCTTAAACCAGAATTGAAAGCTAACTTCACTGATGAATTCATATCACATCAATTTTGAGAGGCCCAAACAAAACAAGACAAAAACCTTTATATTACAAAACCTAGCAAGAATCAATACCTGTATTCCTCTTGTGTGAAGCGAGGGATTTCTCCAGGATGTAAGACGAGAATTTTCACTGTGGCACTGCTGGACATCACAGGCTCACCATCATCAAAAGCCACAACCGCCAACTTAAAAATTAATAAAATTTCATGTTAAAGATTATTAACAAGGAAAAAATAAACAGATCATTTTTAATCATTGGACTGCTTCGTTCCAGGAGGGGGAACAATGACTCTTTCCTCACTACCTACCAGGTAGCAGACCTTGCCCTAGGTTATGCTACATATATGCTCATTTAATCTTCACAGTCAACCTACCAGGTAGGTGTTTTTATTTTCATTTGCCAGATGAGACTTATTAGAGTTAAGTTTCTAACTCTAAGATAAAAAAACTACCAGTAAAACAAGTTTATGATATCACATCTTTTCAGTGACAAACTTTTTTCTCTTCTGCAATTCCACTGGTACCTACAGTAAAACACGTGCCACTAGAAGTATCAACACTTATTTAAAAAGTGTTAAATTCAATCACATTGATAGCAAAAAACTAATTAGCTTGCTTATAAAAAGAAATTAATTTTTAAGTGAATTAATTGCCTGCAAGATTATAGAGCAGAGATATTTCACTCTTTAAGATGAAATTGGAAATCTTTATAGTTTAACACACTTTGATATATACTCTCTTAAAAATAATTAAAATACATAAAACCAGTTTTATACTATATAGCAGAAATTGTTCAAATGAAGCAAACTAAATAAAGTTTTAGTCTTAAGATGTGATAACTACACATTGTTACTAAAATAGATTTTATATGACCATATTTTGATAACATATAGTATATCAAGAAGAATTCCAATGTTTATTTCAAGAAATATTGAATGCTTCAGAACGATGTGATTCTCTGTAATGTATATAATTTGGAAGCTGCAAGTTACTAATCTAAACTATTCAAATTTGTCATAGAACTATAACCAAAGATCATCCTAAAAGCCACAATTTACTTTCAGGTTAATATTTTGCAAAAAGAAAAATCATTTGAAACAACGATAAAATTAGGTGAGCAGTACTCATTGATATTCACAAGATTAACTGATGAAGGTATTTCCCCATTATAAGGTCAAAGGCTTTATTCACAGTGACAAGTTTTTCTAAGGAATTATAAGAAATGTAAATATTCAAACATTTAATAAAATGGATCATTTATGATAATAGCAAAGGGCAGTATTATTTCAAATTTTCTCAAAGTATATGAGTATTTAAATTTGATCCAGCAATTCTGCCTCTAGGCACTTAAGGGAAAACAGGATATAGCTAATGATATTTACACAAGAAGTTTCACTACAAAGATTATAACAAAAAATTGGAAACAGCCTAATTATCCAACAATAATGTATTAGACAAAATTTAAAAAAACATACAATAGAACATCATAAAACCATTATAATAGCATTGAGATATTTATTGGCATGGGCAATGTATTATTAATTAAAAAAAGATGAATAATATGATCCTGTTATTTTAAAACATTTATTTGTATACTTGTATTTATGTGGAATGTCATCATCAGGATAGAAATTAAAATAGTAAATTCTAGTTATCTCCAAGGTGTAAAATATCAATTTTTTTTTTTTACTTAACCGTACTTTCTAAGTGTTTATGCAGTGAAAATGTATTGCCTTGTAGTTTTAACAAAATTAAAAAGCAAAAAAATGGAAAGAAGTAGTCTTCTGTTAAACCAAAATGCTCAATCAAAAGTTAAACATCAAATAGACAACATAAGCAAAACACTGCACTGACCTTAAAAATTGTCGTAGGTTCTTCATTAAGATTGACGCGAGTTATTACTCTTCCAGAATCTTCTTCTACATCAAAAATACTGGCAGGATAAGGAAACTGAACATCATCTACTCTATACCTCACATGACTTGCAGGTAATCCCTAAAATGAAATTAAGTTAGAAATAATGAAATGGTATGAAATTTTATGTTATTAATTTACTCTCACAAATTGAAAACAAAGTGCAGTGACATTAAAGTGCTTTATAACATTCATGGCCTGGTAGAAGTTAAAACTGTATTTCAGACATTCATACTTTCAGGCTTGAAATACAGCAGAATCTTAATTTTTTTAGGATATCTCAGTCTGAATCAGTGAAGTATCTTTACTACATGTTACATAAAATTATTTATGTGAAAGAATAAATTAATGGTTGCCTTGGGCACCTTCTCTTTCAATTTCCCTTAACTACATGAATCTCATCTTCCTCTCTAAACACCGTATCTGCTTAATATTTTATCCTCTGAGATGATTATAAATTATTTTCTTTTATTATACTTAGTGAACTCTGTGATACTCAGAGACTGATAAAGTGCAGAAGATTGTGATAAAGTGGTGGAATGGGTATAGAAGTGAATGAAAATTATCCACCATCTGCTGTGTGCTGTTTACCATGGTAAGTTTTTCCATAAATAAATTAATCCTCACAACAATCCTCTAGGATAATATTACTAATGATGATGATAGTAATAATAGTAAAATAATGATATCTAACATTTGTTGAATGCTTATTATGTGCATCCTAAAGATAATACATGTATACACCAACTCCCATTTTTAGTTAATGAACTTGATGCTTATAGGGAGTTAAAGAATGCTTAATTGTTCTAGACATTAGTGGAATATCAAACAAAAAATTCATTTTTAAAGAAAGAAATTTTTTTCTTTAAAATTAATATTTGGGATTTTTTTTAAAAAGAGACTATGAAAACAATTAAAATTCAGTGAACCTTCTCATTTATATTAGGGTTTAGATTGGATTTATTTTGAATTATATAGGGTGACAGTGGGGTGGACACTACAACCTTTTCAATGCTTAAGACCTTAAATCTTTTAGCCAATCCTAGAAGCCAAGTAAACAATTCAGGCACAGAGCTATTATGTGGTAGAGCTTGACTTTAAGCCCAGGCAGACACTGCATTACACTACTAAATTCTTCAGAGGAAAACACTTCCAAGGCTCTGTCATAAGGACTTCTATCATCTCTGTCTCTGCTCTAGGCCTGTAGAAATCTCTTACAGTCCCATAGATTTGAATATCTTCTGTTTGTTCATAATTCCTAAATTTAAATTTCTGGCTAAACCCTCATCCTTTAAACCCCAAAGTAGTCCATACAATGTCAACTAAGACATTCTATTTTCAACTCAAAATACTGTAACTGGAATCTTGAATTTCCACTCCTAGACTTGTACCTCCTCCCCTCTAGGAGGTCAGTGACCCTTCACCTATGTGGTCTCTCTCAGAGCCTAGGGATGATCATTAACCCATTCACCTTCTCTCACACTCCACAAATTATCTGCAAGTACTGCCAGTACCTCGGTGGAAGCTTGCTCTAATGCAGATCACTTATCTCCTCCCTCCATCTATTTTCTACACTGGACTCTTCATTAACTTTCTGCTTTTTTTCTATTAAAATTATCTTTTAAAATACAAACTATTTTATCAATACTGCTTAAACTCCTAATGGTTTTCCTTCACAGACACAAATTAAATCTAAACCCCTTACTAGGGACTACCAGATCTAGAGAACATCTGATTCTGTTTACCTGCCAACTTCATCTCCTTGTTCATTATTCTTTGACTACGTTGTCCTTGTTCCTGCCTCACTGCCTTTACCTTATGCCTGCTACACCCTTCTCCCAGATTTTCAGCTTCTAAATTTACCTTCTTCTTTTCCAGGCATTCTCTACTCATCATTCTAGTTTATTTTTCTTCAGAAACCCTTTGGGAAATCATCACATATATTCTGTGTTTACTTCCTTATTGTTGATCTCCAACATAAGAACAAATACCTCACAAAGGTGGAGACACTTTGTGTATACCTTGCATGGAACTTGCCTGACCCATAAAGGTAGCCAAGGAGCATTTGACTGAATGCATGACTTAGTGGATGAATACTCATGTGTCAAAAGTGCCCAGACCCTCCTATTGATATTTAAAATATTCACATATTTCAGTATTTTGGAAATACTACACACTGGTGAAATCTTGAGAGAATGTCAAGAAACTGTCAGCTCTGGGATAATATTTGCGTATGAACAGCTAATTTCACCTAGTGGCTGATGGCCATTTTAGCTACCAAGTAAGTATAGAAAGGGGGCATATTTATTACAAAACTCTTTTCTAGTTGGATAGAATTAGACATATTATAATCATTCAATGGCAACATCACTGGCATTTACAAAATAATGACGTGAGTTGTCAGCTATTAATTTGAGTGTTTTACTATGTAACAGACAATATGCATTACATGCACCCTCATATTTATACTTATGAGAAAGCCAGGAGTTGTTATGAATAGTATCCAAACTTTACAAATGATTAAATTAAGACTTTAAGATTTAATTTATTTCTTGAAATTTCCTCAACTAATAAATGCCAGTTTACTAGAATTAAATATGCCTCATACTAAACCATAGATCCTTAACCTATAACAACTTAATATTTATCTATGGTATCTTAAAGGCAATAGTACTTTAACATGAGGACAAATAGCAATAAAATTGAGCAAAATTACTTGAGAAAAAGCTTTAGAATAGAATGCCCAAGTTAATCTGGCCTTAGCACATTGCCCAAGAAGTTATGTAACACTATTCCATGAAGAGGAATGCTTGATGAATGAGCAAAATTATACAACAAACTATTATAAGTACAAATTTTCAGTTTCTGCAAACATTAGTACCCACTAGGTCTGCAGTACAATAACTAAAATTCTTATGACTATCTTAAATTAGTTATCAAGAAATTTAAACTGTATTAATCATATTTAGCTTCTCTAATAAAGCCAAGGTATGTATGATAAATTTCAAATTATGGCATTAATTGATAAAATAAAAAGATTTGAATTTGATATGATGGAGTGCCATCTCTCACCTGCCTTAAATATTTTGCTGTGTAGGACATCCTAGAACCTTCCTAGAGGATTGTTGTAGTTATGAGTGTGTATATATGAACACATATGTAATATGTCAACTATATCAATAAACTTCTTATTCTATGATCTGTTATTCCATAGATTACTACTACATAAAATAAAGCAACTGTGGCCTTGATATGACATCATTAGCCCAAAGGAGGAATCTTAATTATTTCCTCTAATATCCTTGTTATTAAGACATCACATTTTATTTGATATTGCATGTTAAAATAACTAAATGCCTAAAAGGATTGGGATTTTCTCTGAATACGTTTAAAGGCTTTTTTTCTCTTTTTTCCTTCCCTCCCCTTTTTGTCCCATCCTCTGTCTGTTCCCTCCCCCTATTTTTCCTTCCTTTTCCCCCCTCATCCCTCCCTTTCTTCTTTTTTTTCTTCCCAAAACCTTTTTAAAATAGTCTTGCTTTTATAGTTAAATAATCTACATAATAGGTGAAGTAATTGGCTTTGGAAACAGCTTCAAATAACACGCCTAACATTTTCCTGGGACATTTACAACATGAATCAGGTCAAAGGCATGGTCTTTAAGCTGCCATAAAAATTAAATTAACATGGCTTTAATCTGGAAAACAACGTCATTGTGAAATTCAGAAGTTCAAGCACCCTGAAAATAAAAGGAACATTATAAACTTTATCACTTAAAATTATTTATCATTACTATTCATGAAATATCCTTTAATACTTGAGTGCATTAAAAACTTAATAGATATAAATCAAAGTATTCTATATGTAAGATTTACTTATTATATGTAAAAAATAATCCATTGAGTTTTATGGATTATGCATTTTAATAATTATGACAATTGATATAAATTTTCAAATTGTCTTTAGATAAATATTAATTTATCAAAAATTTGGATTTTTTTAGTTGAACTTATTCTAGAAATATAGGATTTCCTCTTTACTCCTACATATTCCCAATTAATTGGTATTTTTCTCAGTTGAGTACCTTAATTAAAAATATTTATTTTTAACATAAACTAAGCTATAAAAACATACTTAAATTTTAGTTAAAACATTTAATTATTATGTTCTACTTCAATCTAATGATATAGCATGTAGATTATATTATATGTCTATATATGTATTTATATGTTTAATAAGAGATTTTCTTTGGACCATCAATAATGAAGGAGGAGTTATCTTTTTACAAAGAAGTCAATCTTTAAAATTTTATTACTATGGCAATAGATTCCTTTCCATAGTATTTCTAAATAATAAAGAAAAATCACTAATACCAACACTGAAAGCAGTTTACAAAAATTATTTTCTTGAAGTTCATATAAAACTGAAATTAGGCCATGCTTTGTTTTATAAATGATGAGCAAATGACTTGGTGCTCCATTGTGATCAAACAGATTTACCGAACTTAGGACCAAATAAATGTTGGAATGTCATTAGCTCCTTGTCTTTAGACCCTACCACCTAAACCATAGCATTCAGATACATTTTTAAAAGATTTTAGCAAAGGAAAGTTTGTAACTGTTGTCATAGCATTTAAGAACTGGCAATTAGAAAGGCTCTCCCTCATTGAAACACTTGCTGAAACCAAACCTCATTTTATCCTCAGACTGAGAGAACAGTTTCTCCTTCTTTTCAAAGCAATATAACTCTTCACAGCTTTGACATCCAGTGTTGCACCCCTGATCCTTGCCTTATTAGCATGGATATTTCTAATTGTTTTTGCATCATCCTAGACCTTCTTGCCTTCTATCTTTTCTCCAAGCCCTTTAAATTTACCACAGTTGTTTAGGAAATGTATTCAAACATTTGTTTAGGAAATGAATTTTAAGGAACAAAAATGATCTAACTGTTTTAGGTCCTCATCAAAGAAAACAAATATGTTAGATATCTACCTAGAGAAATCCATTTAATTTTATCCTTTAGTTCAACTGGCTAAATTACAATGTCTCTTCCTTAGCGCAGATATTTTCATCTCATGACATGAA